GATAACACGGCTTTGTTGTCACTTCAAAAGGAAACGACTCAACGGCATTCAACGGCTAAACCGACAAACAAACTGCTGGAATTCATATTGATCCCAATGTTGAACCTCCCACCGCTTCACCCAATGTTGGTTAAAGGAACCGTCATCTTTGCTTGTAATTGTAGATCCAACAAATATATGAAAGTGAAGGCAAAGATTGAAATGCTTCATAATCCTTCCAAAATCCAAAACATTATACTAAGAAATGGCATTTTTCAATGCTTCGGAATAGATCATGTTCTATTTTTTTCGCCCTCGAACAGCTTCAGAATTCTTCCAAAAACTTCACCTCAAACCCACCCAAAATCGGTCGCCCAGGACCTCCTGATGCTTTCCGTCAGTCGGCCATCTCGCTTTGAGGCGAAGCCATAGAGGTTTTAACTTTTTTTTTGCTATAGAAAAACATAGAAAACCATGGAAATATAGGAAATTCATGGGAATATAGGAAACATATAGGCATATAGGAAAATCATGGAAATGTCATGAGTTGTTTTTTTTTGAAATGAAAGTTTCTGGCTGCTATAATCAACGGAGTATAGCTGGTGGATTTTCTGTCTTGACATGTGACTGATTACCAGAGGGTATCAATGCTACCAACTGTGGTCATTTGGTATGATGTACGCCTAGCATTATTAAAATACGAGTATCATTTTTAGCGCTCGCCATGCTCAATCACTTCATTAATTTCCATGCTATCCCCATGGCTGTGCCATCAGATCAAAATCTGGGTAATTACAGCCAATTAGACCATGTTAGACAGCCGGTCAGCATCCATGCATTCCATTGCATTCCTGGGGTTGATTGACACTCACCATCATTGATCTAAAGTATCTAAAGTCCTAAAGTGACTAACACACAACGCCAAGAAAATTGCTATCTATAGATATTGGACGTCATGCCATGGGCTTCCCAGGTGACAATCAGTAGCCATGGACAGTGGATACCTCAGGAGTGGATGGTGATGGGCTTCCGCGGTGGATCATGATGTTTCATGTTTACCAACTGTGGAGATGTAGCCACCATTCAACATGAGAGATAGATTATGGAGAGACCTTTTCTATTTAAGGTAAAAGCTGGGCACACCAACTGTCAATTTAAGAGGCAGTTCAAGAGTTTATTTTTCTTGTCATTAGTGGGGATGTACATGTATGTATATGCAATATTATGCAATACATACTGTAAAACATTTAGATGTTTTTCTTTTGCAGGATCTCTACGAAATGAACAGGGCTATTTGGGAAGAACGTTGGTGAATGCTTGGTGTGTGGTTTTCGGGCTCTGAAAAGCCGTGGCAAATTTAACTTTTCCCAAGGACTATTCGGACGGTTGATGGTGGTATTGCGACCATAAGTGTGGTACAACGGAAACAGAGAATTTCAAGCTGCCAAGCTGGGATGAGAGAGGATGATCCGTCAACCCCATGGGATATTACAGAACAACACCTTTGGAGAGGGATATTCCACCAGCAGTTCCATGGGAGTAGTTCCATTGGGTCCCTGGAAATTCCACCCAGTTGTGTCATTTTTATCATGATTCTTGGCCAGTTTTTCATCCCACTGAACTATGGCAACTTGGCAATTATTGTTCCCTCAAACTTGGGATACTTTGTGGGAGTTCATGATTCATATACCCTCTGGTAACTCAACATGGCTATTGAACATGGCCCATAGTTGATTTGCCTATTATAAATGGTGATTTTCCATGGTTTTTTGTATACCAGAGAGTACCCTCCACACTCTGCCTAGGTTGGGAATGAAGTTGAACTACAAGAACAACTCCGCTGGTATCTGCATCACAGCCATCACCGATGGAGGCGACATTTGCCATGGTTTTTTTGGGGGGGGTCCAAGAAAAACAACGCATTTGGCTTCCTACAATCCTTACAATCCTTTTTTTGGGTCAATAAAATTATGGAGATTGAGGATCCAGTGGTAAATCCAGTGCCTTCTTCAACCGGCCTCACTCCGGGATGGTTGATCGTTGGATTGACCAAATGAACCTTACTATCTGCGGATTTTATCACTTTTGTACACCAAAAACAAACATATCGTTTTTTTGAGGCCGCAGAATTGTGTATTGAACCCACAAAAAAAACTTTTGACGCATGATTCGCAGCAAGCCACAATGTCCGACCAAGCCCCAATGTTTGATGGTTGATGTTTGAAAATCCATCAATTCCCAGGCCTTGGGTCAGGTATGGGATTTATCATGGTCTGAATGGGGAAAATTATGGAAGATTCATGTTTCGGTCGATGTTGAGACAACCATAATATCTCGTAGATGGAGCATATGGGAAATGTGGGTGCCCGGCTGGGATTTGGTGTTGGGTATCAACATGACTTGCTACATACTTGGCTCATATACTCAATGGGCTGCTTTGATATGTCCCAAATAACATTCAAATAACTATTTGAGAGCCCATATCAATCAATATCCCAGATATTGCACAGTCCTGCTAATATCCCGAAATAGACTGTAGCTCCCAAGACACCAGGCCCCCCTTGGGAACACGTCCCCTTCCATGAACGGGAAGATTTTACAGAAGCCCCAAACGGTTTTGACTCATCCCCATAGACTAGCCTCTTGTAATACCGTAAAAAAAAAAACTATGGAACATCACCATGTTTAATGGGTAAATCAACTATAAATATGGCCATTTCAACAGCGAAGTGTAAACGTTTACCATAGACGAACAGATGTTGATGATGTTGATCCGCTGTCCTCAAGAGGTCTGTTGGACAAGTGGAACAAAGCCAATTTTGATCGCCAAGCCCTGCCAGGCGTGTCACCCAAGGGGATCCAAGGGGGATCTGTGATGTGTTGAGGTCATGGCTTGTCACGATTCACCCTTACAAGTTGGGTGATAAATCATGATATACCCTCTGGTAATAACTCACATAGCTATTGAAATGGCAAATTTTCCATAGCTATGTTAGTTTACCAGAGGGTAATATGATATCATGTGAAAATCAGAACACATGTTACTACATGTTACTAGAGGAAAAGTGGGAAGATGATTCTGGATGAATTTACTTATCTGGTTGGTGGTTTGGAACATTTTTTATTGTTCCAGTTCATATATGGGATCTCATCCTTCCCATTGACGAACTCCATCATTTTTCAGAGGGGTAGGTCAACCACCGACCAGTTATAAACAGTTATAAACTCACCCATTCATAGCTGGGGCCTCCTCGGGAGAGATTTCCCATTATCAATGGGAATTCCAGGATCCTAAAATGGAGGTACTCTGACATATAAGGCCATATTTTTGGGAGATATCCCCTTACATAGCCCTAAACAATAGGCCTTATATATGGTAGGTACCTCCATTTTAGGATCCTGAAGATCTCCCATTGAAATTACTGGTTGGTTCGGGTTCGAGATTCGAAGCACAGGCGGCCCTTTTCATGGACCCAATTTGGATCCACCATGATCCACCGATTTTGGATCCATGGCAGCTATGAATTTTCCAACCAAGAAACGTAGCCATCGATGGTATTTCCATCCAATATGGTTGGGATTGTGGGGGAAGGGATTAGCCATTGGCAATCCAAGTCATCCTTAATGTGTTCCGTCGGGATCCAAGTATGACGTATGACTGAACAAAGCCATTGCCAACAATTTCACTATGTGGAGGCTCCATTAGCAATGAATTTATAGGTGTACTCTGGGCCTTCAGGCCTTGTATGTGTATCTCTGTATCTCTCTAATTGTATATATATATGGTATGTATCCCCCCAAAAGATAGAACAGTATATACAATTGTTAAATAACCAGAGGGTATAGGTAAACCACAGGCTTTATATACATAGCCCTTTATGGTGGATCTAATTATATATACAAAGTGGGGCCCCCTAGATAGCTAAGTTGGTTTATAACTCCAATAACTATATGGTTTATGGTACCTATAGCTATAGTATTCATGGGGTTTATAAACCATCTAACATCACTGGGGGGCCCCACCTTGTATATATACCCTCTGGTTATTTGTTACATAGCCATGGTATAGATGGCCCATAGAAATAGATGATTTTCCCAGCTAGAAACCTCCATTGATGTCAGGGATTTTCCATGGCTATGTTAGTCATAACCAGAGGGTATTAATGGTAAACCATATAAAGTTTATATACATAGCCTAATTATATATATATAGCCCTTTATGGTGGATCTAATTATATATATATAATATATATATGGTATGTATCAATGACAACCCTGGCAACGACTCTATCGTTTTCTGGTGAAAAGAGGCGATCGCATCATAGCGCTGGGCGGCAAAGAGATGCGAGGCACTGACGGATCTGACGGGTTTCATCAACGTGGGACCAATAAATGGACCCCCCAAAAAAGTCGTTGCGTTTGGGAAGTACAAACAACCCCAAGAAAGATAGAGAACATGTTTTTGAAAGAATCAAACTAGAGTAACGTTTTTCTGAAGGGGTGACCCAAAATGGTGCTGAATAATCTAAATCACCATAGGAAGCAAAAAAAACATAAACATATTATTTTAGGATTTGCAACTCAAACCTTTCTTTTGTTGGGGTTGCTGTAAGTTCTAAGTCTTGTTCAATCACCTGATAGTAAAAATCTCCCCAACAAAATGGATAGAACTATCCCTAAACCAGGGATCCTAAATTTTGGGTGTATTTATTTGGATTTATGAGGTAGTGGAAGTCCTACATAAACCATCCTGGTGACTATTTGGCAATCAAACATGGCAATGGGAAATGCCAAAAATTGAAGGCTTTCACAGAAAAGAAACTATCCGGTTGGGGCATTGTTCATTGACATGTTTGATTACCAAACGGATATGGTTTCATCAAGTTCATCATTTTGAGGCAAACCCATTTGTGCATCAATTCATGGGAAAGGCTCGCGGCTCCAGCTAAACATGGGGAGATACTCCAAAATTTGCAGACTCCTTGGGATTTTTGAATACTCAGAATACCATAGAATAGCCCATGATCAATCCTTTGGGTGCATTGCAACCATTGCCCAAGTTTGAGCCCACTCCACTCGATGTCACCATGGTCAGGAGGTATTTTTGTACCATGGAGAGTTGCCTACAATTCGACTTTGGGAATTGTATTTTTGCCTTCAGAAATGTATGATATATTCTAAATGAAATCATATTTGCCCATAGCCATAGTTCATCCTATTTCCCACCGTTGTACCACGGTGAAAGCTCCACGACTAGAAGGGCCACTCTCCGAGGCTTAGAGCTGATTGAAGGCATCAAAGCAGAACAGGCTCAGACTACGCCGCAGGAGCGTGGCCGTGCGCGGCCCCGAAATGGTGATTTTGGCCCTGCGCTCTCCCGTTAGGGTCTTATTTGGGAAGTTTGCTGGTTTATCCCTATTGTGTTGGATGTTTTTTTGGGTTTGATTCCAGTGTTTTTTGATGCTTTGTTTTTTTCCCGGGGGGGAAATGAGAAGATGTATAGATAACCGCGTTATGCTTAGGAAGAACAAATCCCCATTGTTGGAAGTTGATCTAAGTTGGCTATACAAAAATTACTAGATATTATGATGTATGATTATGTAACTAATGATATCAACTCAGTACGTAATAATCCCTTCACCATAATACTAAACGTCCCCCCCTAATAATAAACACTGGAAGTAGTTTTTAGTATTAGGGGGGTATTTATTATTATTTATTACGAGGGAACCAAATCGAAGTCATGTTATTCATGCATTATAATGGAGGAAGGGATTAAAATCAATTAAATTTCTTTATATAACGCAATTAAAATATTGCCAAACATGGGATTTCGAAGCTTCCCCCTAATACTAAATTAAAACCCTTAATAATAAAAACTATTTTTTCCGATCTCAAAATCAATTAAATTTCTTTATATAACGCAATTAAAATGTTGCCAAAAATGGGATTTCGAAGCTTCCCCTAAATTAAAACCTTTAATAATAAAAAATATTTTTTCCGATCTCAAACTCAATTAAATTTCTTTATATAACGCAATTAAAATATTGCCAAAAATGGGATTTCGAAGCTTCCCCCTAATACTAAACACCCCGGGGTTGACTAGCTTTTAGTATTAAGGGGGGACACCCACAAATGGTACGTTGATTTTTCAATTGTTTTCTAAAGGGGATCAATTAAAAATCAAATTGGCCAATCTGAAATTTTCAAAAATTGGAGATGGACACTAGTTTTCAGTATTAGGAGGGGGTTTAGTAAAGGAAGAAGGGATCAATATAAACTGATACTTCGTAATTATACATTTTTAATAAAATATTATGCTTTAATCACTACTGTGTATAATGATTCTACAATCATTACTACTCATTGGCCATATGACGATATACATATATATATATATAGTATATATATATATATTCATGATTCATCATGAATCATTATTGCCATTATGAAATACACATCAACAATATATTATGTGTTTTTCCCCTAATGTTGAGCACCAGAAAATGGTAAAAAGTGGTGGATAAGGCCACATGATTTGGACCCCAGAATGAGGGTATTCCCCAATTAATGGGCACATCAACACACATCAACACACATCAACAGCGACATATTATGATTATTATGTAGACGGGATTATGCCCATTGTAATCACTATCCATATCTATATCATTGTAATAATATACATCACGCATCCAGTCTTCACGTTTGCCAGAACGCATCGACTCCCATTGGGCCATCTTCCCCATGTCCTCCTAGAATTCATCAAGAGATTCTGCCTTCCCCCAGTCCAATGATTTTGCTCCGGCGTCGGAGCACAACGTTCGATTTTGGTCAATTCCCTTCGACCCAAATCGACAGGAGATGCGGCTGACCCTCCTGCGCTACGAGAAGTGACGGCCCGGCCCAAAGGCGGCCGGAATGGCCGGAATGGCCTGTCGGCCGAACGGCCGCATGGCACGAGGGTGGCGACCTATCTTTGAGATGGCCATGCTTTGTTGCACCCTCTTAGAGATAGGATATCTTGATATATCTTGAGAGATAGATGATATAGATGATTACAAATGTGTATTTATTATCCATGTTAGATATGCTTAGGGTTACATGATGATATGATCCCGCCTTAGACATTGAGATGAGCCTTCGGCGAAGTCGAGCTCCAAAAGCGCGTGGCTTTTTACCGGGGAGAGGCGGTGCCCAGCGAGCTATGTCCTCTGTCAAAGCATTAAAAGCACTAGTGCAGCTATCATGTACCGTAAAATAAATGACTCAAATGATCTCAAATGATTTCAAATCTATTCGTATAGGTAAATGTATCATACGCGGAGCCTATGGGTTTGGTTTTGTTTGGTGCCTGCTTAGAACTCTCGGTGGTGAAACCACAATACGAACACACAACGAGTGAAGAAATAGGTGAATTTTTGCACCATAAAAAGCGATGGACTTCGGCAGTTCAACCCTCTAACCTACGGAAAAACCGATCATTTCATCCGGAAAACCAGGATTTTCCCAGATCTAGTTTAATTTACAGGATACCATTCCTGGAGATAAGTGAAGTTCCCAAAATTGCCAGGAAAAAAGTCAAGAATAACATAAAATACCACAACAATATCTAGTTGCCTTAGGTTTATTTAACATCCCGTAGCTGCCGTCTGCAAAACGGCGTCCCCGCGAGGTGGTCCTACACCGGAATTCCGCCAACAGCCAGGCCAGCCTGGCCTCAGTTATAAGCTGGTTATAAGTTGGTTGAAATTATGTGAAATTGGAGTTATGTTACATAGCTTAGCTGGTTGGTGGTTTATGGAACCATGGAATTTTCTGACTTTCCATATATTGTTGGGAATTTCAGAAAATCCCAACTGACGAACTCCATCATTTTTCAGAGACTTCGCTAGTCTTTTTTTTGGCCACCAAGGAAGTGTCCCAATTCCTATGGGCTTAATCTCCCCCATCACTCTGGCAGAACTGGTTCTGTCACCGTTCTGGGCGAGGCCAAAGTGTCTGAAAGTTCGGCGGAGCATCCCCCGACTGTGAGTCGTTTTGAAAGTTCTTTCGCTGCTTGACGTATTCGGTCACCGTGGTCACGTAAGGTCACCAGAAATTGCTGGAGATTGGTGGAGATTGGACCCCCGTTTGGTTGGGGATGAAGCACCCAAAAAGGATTAATCTTGGTAAATTATAACGACCTCACTGTTCTCCCTCACTGGAATCATAGTTAGTATTGGAAATCATCCCCAAATGGCCTTAATTCAGGTTGGTGAAATATTACAATTTACCCAGATATATGATAATGACGATGATAACAAATGAACTTCAAAACCAGAAGAACGGGTGTAATGTAAGAAAATCTATGAACATGTGATATACCGTATACCCCTTAAATGATTGCCCTTTCTGATGTCCATGACCTCACGCGGGTGATGTTTTTTTGGCCAAGGCTGTCTTATGCAGTTCTCTCCTCAGTCACGGCTCCGGAAAATACAGATGGGATACAGATGGGTTCACAAATGGCAAATTGCAGATAGGTCAATAGCTTTTTCTGATTACAAACCTCTGATTAAAATAGGGGAAAGAAAAACAAGGGCCTTGAAATGCAAAGTATTTAAGTGGGAGCAAGCTTCTTTGCACTGTACGTGTTTAATCATATTTGAGATATTTAGGATCACGATCCACAATTCTTTCCCACCCCAGACAAAGCCAAAGATCTATACCATCTATGACCCAGTACTACCTCCAGCCACCTGAAACGCTTGTTTCGTGGCCGAAGGAAGTGCTGGTCCATTGTAGAGTCGCTGCAAGTCTCAAGGATCCAACATCGATGCCAGTTCTGTTGTGGCCACAAGGGCAATCTTTTTGTTGGAACCATCTTAGATGTAGCGGTTATTCCAATCACCCCATATGAGCCCCATAATTCATCTCATACTAACTAATGTATACTAATGTCATACTACATCATATTGTTATATCATGTTATATTATATATTAACCCCATCTCAACTCCATATCATAACCATATTGTAACCATATTATAACCATATTATAACAATATTGTAACCATATTGTAATCATAGTATAACCATATTATAACCATATTGCAACCATATCATAACCATTAAAGTTCCGCAGTTGATTGGCCTTTGTGACGGTGCGAGGTCTGAGCTGTTTTCTTTGCATCCTCTTGGTGCGACGTTATGTGCCCGGAGCCAGCAAGCATTGGTTTCTCGGCACCGCAACAGGAGTTTGATGGGATGCTACTGGGATTTTAATGGGTGTTGGGATTTTATTGGGATTTAACGTAGAATAATGTATAGTATATAAGTTATATAAGGTTTTTAAGCATCAACAATCTGAGCTAGACTTGATAAAAGATGGCTGGTTGATGATTATTTGGGAGTTGCACTATCTAACTGAACAGCTTGGGGATTATCATCATCCATGAATTGGGAACCCCGTAAAATATATGTGCTATGGTCACAACATGAACTTGACCAGTAAAAATGGTGATTCAATGGGTTATATAGAGTCAACCATCATCAAATGTTCAATGACAGTAGATTAGTTGCCATGAGTTTTTTGGAGATGGGGGATTCAACCATTCATTTTCATAGGTTTTCCATAGCTTTTCCATAGCTTTTCCATAGGTTTTCCATTGGTTTTCATAGGTTTTCATAGGCCTTTTTTCAGTCGCCATGCTGGGAATGCCACCATCTGACCACCCTGGGGATCCTGGGGATCCATGGCTTCAATAGCTATTTTGTTAAATAACCAGAGGGTAAATTACCAAAATGTTAACGTTTACCAGGTTGGGTATCATCTCTACATTTTTTTTTTCGTATCATAATATCCCCACAACATGGGAATTCCCAAGGTTTCGAAAAAAAAAAGGCCCTTCTGTGTCTCGTGATTCATCATGATTCCCATGATTTGATGATCCACTTTCCACGGATCAGTTGTGATTTGGAAAATTGGATGTTTCATAGCTAACTGTAACACATTTCCAGATCCTAATTTCCCATTATATCCATCTATATCCATATAGATATAATATAATATGTATATATATATATATACACCTTAATATATTTCCATTTTACCCCCATTATCTTGATGATGAAATCCCTTGTGAAAATCCCTTGTGAAAATCCCTTCCCTTCGTTGAGGCTGTGTCGCACACCCCACATCTGCGTTGGAAGTTTGGTCTTAGTGACATTCCTGCAATGCTCGGAGACCCAGCTGGATGAATAATATGGGCCCTATATGCGCAAATGATAATCATACCCAATGAATCCAACTACCTTCTAAGGAAGTATTTGGCGTTTGATTGTACCATATTGTACCTTGTCTAGTAGTATTCAGATCGATAGGGATATTAATACTACTGATTTTACTGTATCATGGGAATGTAATCAGTGATATATGATATGGGTGTGTCAGCAGATCATCCAACTATTGATTTCTGGCAACATATTTTTGAATAGGTGTTCGGATTTCCAGTCCTTTTTGGGCTGGTTTGACCCCTGTAGCAAATCCAATTTGACTGGCATTTTTGCAACAATAACATGCAATGGCCCATGACCCCCTAAAGTGCAGAGACGTTACGTTTTCTATAGCATCCATGTTTTTCCATTGAAGAAAATTATGATACCCTCTGGTTATTTAACATAGTCATGGGAAATGACCCATTTATAGATGGTTTACCTATTAAAAATGGTGATTTTCCATGGCTATGTTAAATAACCAGATGGTACCATAATATTGCAATCCATTTGATTTGGAGTCACACATGTTTGTTGACCTCAAACTAAAACCATAAGTTCTCGAAGTGATCTTTTGGCTGCAAGATTGGAACATGCTGACATGGTTTACTTGTTTCAATTCCAAGGGGGTGCTTCAGGCCACTCGTACTATAGCATGTGGTAAAACCATATCTTTATATATCTTTATATACTTGATACACAAAAGTTTGCCACATGTTTTATCAGTATGATGAACATCCAAATGTGAAGAGAAAAGAGTTTATCATTATCTGTTTGGTGGTTTGGAACATTAATTTTATTTGTCCATTCAGTTTGGAATTTCATCATCCCAACTGACGAACTCACTCCATCATTTTTCAGAGGGGTAGGTACACCACCAACCAGATTATTATTAACCATATAATAACCATAGATTAACAGTATATTAACCACATATTAACCATCAACCACCAACCATAAACTATGCATTTTTTTTGTGCCCTAGAAATGACAGGCAACCTTTTGTGTGACATGGGAATCTCTCAGCTGGGCCCGACCGCCCGGGCCCAGGCGGTCTTTCGGTGTGGCGCTACAGCCAACCCGGGGCCGACGCTGCGCCTTTCCAGGATTTGCTGCGTCGAACATGGCAACCATGGCACTGGGGAATCGGTTCGTATGGCAACCATGGGAATTATAGCATGGTAATATGGGTATGGGTCAATACCTATAGATACATTTTTAGTGGGATGAACATCCATAAATCCCAGCTATTTTGATGTGAACTACAGGGGTACAAGGTTTTGACACACTGCCATATAGCACCATAGTTATGATTCTATGATGATTTTATAAACCACATAGTTTTTTAGACCATGGTATTTTTTGTTGCCATTGATGGAATATGATGGAATAATGATGGAATATATTAATGGTTTAACTATGGTTTATGGTAGATATAACTATAGCTGGTTGGATATATTGGTTCATAGTAATGGTTAATAGTGGAATATATAGGCTATAAACCAACAACAATGGGAATATGATATATATATACATATATACTGGTTGGTGGTGACTGGAACCATGAAATTTATGAATTTCCATATATTGGGAAGAATAATTCCAACTGACTAATATTTTTCAAAGGGGTTGAAAACACCAACCAGTATATATATATATGTGTGTTATGTTTTGGGTGTTCAGCAAATCCAAGTTTTCCAGACTTGGGACCATTCTTGGGCGTAGCATTTTTGACTTCACTTCAATCATTTGGTAGCTGTGTGACAAGCCCTTCAAGAATTTGGATGGAAAGATCGCTGTCAAGGGCATATTTTTGTGCTTTTTGGAGCATTGCAATGTCCTCCCAACAGGCTGGAACATGGCCCGTCCTAGTGAACTAGTGTTTAGGAGGTTTGTTGACGGTGGTAGACAATCTTGCGGCGTCTGGTGATGTGCAGACCTGGCTTTTGGGTACCAGCCTGGGTTGCACAATATCCTTTTCTGATGTCTCCATGTTTGGCTTACGTTTGGTTTGCGAGTTATAACACTTTGTATCTATTGATGTTTGCTTGAATGACTATTCCAATTTGGTAACGGCTTAGTGACTATCGATTAGATTGGTGAATCTCCCAAGCGGGTAAATCTCTATCACTTGCTAGCCAAATTATAAATTGTTGAATAATTATTTATAGCCAATTGGTTATTATTCAACTAGCTATTTATAGCCAATTGAATAATTATTCAATTAGCCAATTGAATAATAACCAATTAGCCAATTGGTATAACCAATGCCAAAAAAATCCCCCATTCTGAATTTCTGAATGGCGAATCCCTGAATCCCAATTGGAACATGTTTGCCGAGTTTCGGCCTCAGCCAATCTAATCCATGTTTATTTCCGAATGAACTTCTTTAGCAAAATCAGCTAAAGGGATCTCTTTAACAATTTCAGAAATCATCCCCATTTTATAAATTCCAGTTGTTGAGGAAACAAAAACTAAGAACTGATCAAGTGATCTAGAGAGCTTCTTGGTGGTAGTTCCACATAATAGCACAGTTCCGTGTCCAGTTCGTCAGATATTATTTAGTAAATGCCCGAGCAAACAAATGCTAGTTGACAATCAGTTGAGACTACAAAAAAAATGGGGAATTGACCGATATCCAAGTACGATAGTATCAACTAGCACTATCCTGAGATGATGATATTCACAATTATACCATATTATGTGTGAATTCCCTATTGTAGTACTGGCTAACAATATCTGATGAACAATAATCCAGCCATTATTATCATCAGATGATATCTTGGTAATATATGGCATTATCAGTTGGTATTACAACATAAATCTGGAAATACGGATAATACTGGATTTATGATTCCCCATGATTCCCCTCTTTATAGTACTGGATGATGATATCATATAATTTCAATGATGATCATATCATATTATTTTATATTATATATAATGTCTATAGTATATCTATGCAATACTATACAAGTATTACGTATGATAAGAACAATATTATAGTTGATATAGAATAATATATAATGTAACGTCACGTAATGTAATGTAATATAATATAGTATAATATAGTGTGTGTATATATATATATATTATACAATATATATATAATATTATATTATAGCATGTGATCTCCGACTTTTACCAACCAACGCTGGACCGCTTCACCGCGGGCTTTCCAGGAGACTCCCGTTGAGGCTGAGGCTGCGCTGGAGGCGCTTCCGACCACAGCAGCAGTGGGGAAGCCCAACAAGGCTTCCATCAATGGGGGATCACCAATAGCTGGAGGGTTTGTTAATGGAAAATCCATCTATAATCATATATACATGGAGGTTTTATTAATGGAAAATACATGTTTATTACATGTTTATATGGCTTTATAGAGGTTTCCATAAATGATTGGGGATGTTTTATGTCATGGAAAATCCATCTATAAATGATGAGAACTGGGGGTTTGGCTCCATTTTCGGAAACCACCGATCATATTCGTTGGGATAATTAGCAATGGGTAAACATGGGTAAACTAACTTAAGATGATGTGGAAACGCCATGATGAAAGCCGTTCGGAAAATGATCTACATGCTGGTTTTTCCACATTTGTTAGTTTACTCTAGGACAAGGTTCCGGCCGAAAATGGAGTTTGATAGACATTTAAAAACACGTATTTGATTTGTAATCTTGGATGATTTTAAAACGAGTTGAACTAACACATTCACATAGAGATTTATACTCAAACATAGTGGTTTCACCGAGAAGAACACGGATTTAACCAAAAAAACATCTTGGATATAAGCCCTGCAGATTGGTTTTTTACATCAGTTTACCAAGAACATGGCGATTCAAAAGCAAAATATGGGGTTTATGAATGTTTATGACGGCTATATCACCAAGGAATCATGGTTGCTGGTTTTGAATGAAACAACATGAATTAACCATGTTTGGCATGATGTTCCCGAATGGCAACATTCTTTAAGAACAGTGGTTTAACCACTATATCTAAAGAATTCAATGGCAATGTTTCCCGGGAAAAACAAACAAACATGTTTGTGTGTCCAGCAAAAATGCTGTGCAGAGATGCTAGATTTTAGATCCCAGATTTTATCCCAGATTTTCTCTGGTTGGTGGTTTGGATTTTATTTTTTATTTTCCATAATCATAATCTTTTATAGATGGTTAAAACCACCAATCAGTTCTCATATGGGAATTATAACCACTATTACTATATAATCCCATTATTGATGATTATCCCACTATAATCCCATTATATAATCACAATTATTAACCATAGTATGAACCTGGATCTTCCTGGATGGTTCTCCACCTCTCAGGGTCCTCAGCCCTGAGGTCGAAGCCGAGGTGGACTCTGCCGAGGAGCGCGGGAGATGGCGTGGTTAATTGGGTGACTGGAATGATATTGATGGGAATTTAACCACTATAAATGGTGATTCAATGGTGATTTAATGGTTTAACAATGGGTTAACAATGGTGAATAATGGGATGATATGGGAATTACCCTCTGGTTATGACTAACACTTTGCCATGGTTTTTCGATGGCCCTAATCGAAATAGATGGTTTAGCGAACTTAATAGCATGGTGGATCTTTCCATGGCGAACTGTTAAATAACCAGATGTTTTTTTTGGGGGGAATTAATGATGATCAATGTCATTCATATGGAATTCGTATGGATTTAATGATGATTAATATGGTTTAATCATGGGAATTATTTGGATACAGATACATGTTTTCACGGTATAAAACGGTTTTCAATCACTGGAATGTCACCAAATTTCCCCGTGTTTTTTCGGATCACTCACCTGAAAAGGTTGGGAAACAACCATGAGAATATGTTTGGGTGCCTGAAAATGCCACAGATTCCTTGTTCCAAACCACTGAGGTCGTATTGGGTGAACACTTATTGATCATATAATGATATGGCCATATAAATTGGGGGGATGAATACATATATACTTATTTACCAGCTCTAAAAATGGGGGTTAATGATGATTAATATGTGTATATATATAATTATATACAGTATATATTAATATGGAATTAACCATCATTATATATTAATATTATATATTCATATGGAATTAACCTGGTTAATATATTATATGATGAATAACCGGAATTCACCTGGTTCCCGGCCGTTGTGATGTTTGATAAACTGCCACAGGACTCTGGGGACTCACCATCATCCAGTGAGATTCCCTCCGACTGGCCATGCGGGGAGGTGCTTAGATGTGTTTAGGTTGCTAAAAAATCTTGAATTCTCATTTTGGGTAAAAATTGAAGGGTTTAAGTAAACTACATTTAACTACTATATTATATTAATATACAATTATATATATATATACAGATATGTATATACATGTATGTAGATATTCGATGGTTAAAATCCGTATGTTTGCTGGCGAAGTCCACATTCTTGCCGGTCAACTTCTCAATTTTTGCAGGCAATGCCTGATCAAAGCGGTGATAAGACGAGTTGAGATGAGTCGGGTGGTCACTCCCCATGGGTGAACCTTGGATATACAGCAGCAGCTAGTGCATGTGTTTTTTTGCAAAGACAGTGGGGAACATGATAAAAAAAACAATGCCAAGAATAACCAACAGCAAATATCTCGTGAGGTATCAACAAAACCACTCAACCGGGGTTTGAACTACAGTATCACTTTTAGTTTTAGATGGTTGGAGGCCATCACCCAGTGGCACCCAGATATCCAAGATACGCCTAACCTCAAAACGATCAAGGAACGCTTAAAGTTACTATGTAGATACCCCAGCCACTCTAAAATATGGCTTGTACACTGAAATAAAGATACTAATGATGATTTTACCAGTACTACTGTGGATGGAAGATAATGGAAGAAATCTTGCACCACCAAAAGGATGGTTGAAACCCTATAAATAAATATAGATAATGGGATGTTTACCATTTATCAACTGGGGATTTGGATTTCGCTGGCCCATCCACAGTAGGTGTTTTTGTCCATGGTTTTTGGCAGGTGCTGACCCCCGTGGACTTTGGCGCCAAGGGTGACGGACACCATGATGACTCCAGCGCAGTCTGGTGCGGCTTCAGAAAATGCTGGCTTTACCTCGCGAAATGGCAATTTTAATTGAGAAAATATGGGAAACTATGGGAAAATGAATGAACATTACATGATGATAAACCATGCCCAGTTTGAGGCTCTTTGTATAGTTTTACCTTGGAACATGTTGAGTTTACCTAGGGACATGCTGTATATCAATGTTGTTTTACCTGGAAAGGGTGGTTCTTCTAGGAAGAATATGATTCTACTTAAAGCATCTAATTCATACTGAGAAAATGAACAAATGTGTATATACATATGTATATATATATATATTATGTTTGTCAAGACAATTGGTGGGTGCTTCTAGTCTGACCAAAAACATATTATATAGAATATTTTTTTCCGTGGACACATGGCGAAGCAAAATGTTGTTTATTTTGCGTCGCGCAATTTGTGTTTCTATCTTAAAAAAACACATAAACCATCATGAAATCTTTGTCAATGCAGTTTCACTTTTCAATGACTGACGGTCTGGACTAAAGAAGTTGTGGTTTCATGTAGAATGAGGTGGTTTTTATTTCCATCAAGCCCATCAAACAAATGTATTTTACCAGGAAACAATGTTGTTTTTTCCAGAACAACACCTGCAGGGCGGCCATTGCTCACGGCATCCGCTGCAACAGCACGGTGCTCCTGGGACCTAGAAGGTGCGATGCGCTGCAGCGGGGGTTATGAAGCGCGTTCGGTGGACACCCGTGTTTGTGGTTGTTGGTTTATAAACCCTGTGAACATTTGTTAACTAGGGTTATATAGGGTTATAATTAGCATGCCCATCAAAAACCCTAGTGAAATATAGTGAAATTGGAGAAAACAGGTATGTTATAGTCCGACTTGGCTAGTGGGGCCTACCTTGTATCAGATGGTGGTTTGAGTAAATTTTGGAGGGGGATGCTAAAATTAAGACAAGATGTGACTTTACAGGATGTTCGCAAGAAATTGTCCGAGCCCGGTCAAAAAGGTTTTGGCGAGAACATTGCACAATAAAGCAACATGAAACATATGGTCATACCGTGTACCCGTATACACATGTTACGAGAGCTTGGATATGAGGAGATTTGGCTCACCGCAAGGGGATAGATAAATGCCAGCAGCGAAGATATTTTTCTGTGCGATTGGGGCAGGCGTGGCTTGCCACGCCTGCCCCAGAATCAATGGATTGATTTAAGCAACACAAATGCGGGAAACGAAAACATTTTTTGGTCTTCCTGAAATGGGGGGTACCCCCAATAGCTGGATGGTTTCTATTGGAAAATCCGACTATGATTTGGATGATGACTGGAGGTACCCCCATGACTTGGGAAACCTCCATGTTTTTGTTTCCACCAATTGCTGGAGACATCGGTAGATGCGGTGGATGATCATTTGGGAACTCGTGAACTCGTTCAGTTTGTCACCAAACCCAATGGGGCCATTGTTTTTAAGTCACCAGGTACCCAGAAAATTGGGTGTTTGAGAGGCACAAATCGTTTTTTTTTGCAAAATGTTCCGCAGATTTTGGACACCCTTTTAGATGTATAGACCATTTAGACCCTCGAAAAATTATCCTGGTTGGTGGTTTGGAACCATGGAATTTTATGACTTTCCATATATTGGGAAGTTCATCATCCCATTTGATGAACTCCATCATTTTTCAGAGGGGTAGGTCAACCACCAACCAGATATATTATTCATTAGATCAGGTATTAATCACTATTAACCACTATGAACCACTATTAATCAGGTATTAATAGCCAACAATAACCAACAATAACCCTCGAACAATTATCCAATGGTCCTATGATTTCCAGTGCCTTTTTGACAAAGCGCCAGGCACAGATTTCTGGTGATGCCCAATGTCCTTGAAGTGCTGGGCGCCCTGGGGATTCCGTGGCCCGCTGTTTGTTCGCGGGTTTTTTGTTTTTGTGGGAAGCCTTTGTGGATGAGAATATTGAGGTTTCTGAAAGGAAGATCCCCAATTCACCATGGGTTTCAATACATGGTCATTCATGACTTGGATGATTTTGGTGTACCCATAACCACCATGTAAACATAGAGTTTCTCTATTAGGTGGTTTCAGATGTTGTTTGTCTCCTAATTGGTGTAGATTGGATATGTTGAGCCCTGGTGACCGAGAGATTGTTTGGGATGGGCGGCTAAGCTAAAGGCCCGCCTGATCTTGTTGCCCTCCAAGAGTTTTTTGTTTAGCCACGGTTTTTCGATGTTCTTGAATGATTTGGGTATGTCTGAAAATGGGGTATACCCCCAATTATAGCCATTTAGTAGGGATAATGATCAGCAAAACCATTGGGTGTAGGGGTACACTATTTTCAGACAAACCCATTTTTGGACACTTTATAGCGATCTTACAGCTCATGTGATCCGGGATGATGTGATACAACTGGTTCATCATGTCGCCATCCGGTGGACGTGGACGACATGGACTTCCTCATGGCTTTTATTTCCAGTGCTGTCTTGACCTGGTCATCTTCTACATCTAAAGAATTTTCCCTCTGACAGCATAGCATGTATATATATATATCATAGCAACCCAAAAAAGATAGAGAGATTGGATATGATTGGATGATCTGCAAATAATGTGGGAAACATATGGAAACATCATGTGCAACATCCCAGAACAACTTGTCGGCATCCTTCCATTCACAGATTGGGGATTTCCCCTTTGCAAACCCCCACGCCAGGACAGCGGAAAATCTCATCATTGTCTTCGAAGCACAGCTAGTTGGTGATGCCCAGGACGAAGAACAGTAACTGTTCAATAACTCTTTATCCCGATCTATCATGGAAGGTTGAAGCATTGAGGCATCACATATAGTTGATATATGTTGATATCCATGAATTGGGTCGGGTTTAAGCTGTAAAATGAGCAAAATGACACCGAAACCATGGCTGTAACGGCTTTAACATTTAAATACGCAGATTTCGTCTTCAAGTTGGACAGGCTGTTACAGGAGGCCAATCAACTTCAAGTCTCGTCCAGACTACGGTAAAACATGGGGCCTGGGAAATTCATATACTTGTTATGAGCTATCCATCGCCAGCTTCGTTCACCTGAAACCATCATGTTCTTCCAACGAAAAAATCAGGTTGGTCCAATGATCCAATCTCCGAATTTCACATGGTGAAGAATCAGCCATGGTTTTTCATGGCTCAAAAAACCGATTCGTGAATGGGCCGTCTACCCACCAAACGCCCAGGTAGGTCCAACCCTGGAGGCGAAGGATTTTTTTCGAAATCCCGTGATTCCTGGTGCGGAGGTATGTCGGCTGGGGACAGAATGCCCCATAAAGGATGTCTTAATATGTCTCAATATGTTGTTTTGATGCCTGGTTGGTGGTTTGGAACATGGCTTTTAATTTTCCATCATATTGGGAATTTCATCATCCCAATTGACTTTCATATTTTTCAGAGGGGTAGGTATACAACCAACCAGATGATGTGTTTATGCTGCTTACAGACACAATTGGAGATATGTATGAGATATGTTTACTGTCAATCCTTGTTGGCCTAGTCCCCATCTGAAGTGCAACTGGAGTACTTTGTGGAAGTATGTTCCCTCCATTTGGAGCGGCGAACCAAGGTTTTGGAAGAAGATATGGCCACTGCCTCGTGGTTTCAGATGTTTTTCCCAATGATACAACCAATCTGACTGGTGTCATTTTATCATTCCCCCACAGTCAATTTCGTGCCAAAGTTTGGTTGGCACTTGATGGTCAAAATGCCCTTAAATCTTTAATCCTGCGATGTTGGCCAAGTAGAAGATTGTGTCGCTTAGATACTAATTTTGTTGAAGACAATTATGCTTGGATCTAATAAATTATGTTGGACATTGAATAGATCCGAATCATAGAAAATTGATCACCCAAACAGGGCTGGCTAGCGGCGGGAAATCCCCAAATGTGGCATTTATATGCCATGTTCATCCGTTTTCCAGCTAGCCATGTTTGATTACCAGAGGCTAACCATGATGTTTGTTGCTTACCTTCCAATAATCAAACATGACGTGCTAGAAATCAACCATTTGATGATCTTTATTGATTTTCCCAGCTATAAACCTACATTTACTTCCGGGATATCCGAGTATCCCCTTGAATTTCAACGGTTTCAACGGCCGCGGAGGCTTGGAACCCGACCTTAGAGTCGTGGCCCAAGGGATCCTGCGCCTATGCGGAGGCGCGGATGGGATTTTGATGAAAAATGATGGAAAAAGGATGGAACATGGACACCCAACATTTGGGGTGTTCCATATATTTTTCCCATCATGGTTGGTGTGGTTTGAACATGCCATATTGGGACATATATTGGGAAATCCCATGATGAAATTCCTCAAAGAATGTCTGGTTGGTGGTTTATGGATGGTTTATGGCACCATGGAATGGATTATGAATTTCCCATCATAATTATTGGGAATTTCATCATCCCAACTGACTTTCAATGACTTTCATATTTTTCAGAGGGGTTGAAACCACCAACGAGAAAATGTTGAAATTCCTCAAAGAATGTCCATGTTTTCAATACCATGGCATGTTAGATGATGGATGATGGATGATTTTCATGGATTTTCCATATTGGGAAAGCCGACACGTCAAAACACATGTTGTTTTGCGGGTAAAGATTTTCTCTTTGGCCAATCCAGTGAAACACGTGTGGCATTTGAGCCATAAAACGTATACCCATCACAAACCATGGGTTTTAAAATGGTGTTAGCCAACAAAAATTGAGATCTGATATATTTTTGATAAATGATAGTTGATTGATGGCTGATTGGTTTTCATAGGGGGCCGGTTACTAAGCTCCAATCGAAGTTCCGGTTTAGTCGGTTTAGTATTGGAGTTGTTTATGAAATGGGGCCCCATGTTGGTGGTAATTTTGTAGGCAGAGACGTTGAAAATCACCAAAAATCACCGATGGTAAATGACCAGCCCATATGTAGGTGTCAAAGCCTTAGATGATCTTAGATGTTGTACCTATAATTGCAGGGGCCCTGCTTCCATGTGTATCTGGGACCCAATACCCCATCTTGGTGGTATGTTTGCCTCAGTTGCAACTGGTAGCCCTTAGTACGTCTTAATTGGCATGAGGTAAAATTGCGTACCCAAACATGGGATGTTTTGAAACTCAGAAACTTGCAGAAGATCTCACATGTTTGGTTGGTGAACTCTTGTGAATAAGTTATATACATCTCTATTTGTTCTGCAAAGTGACCTGTTTAGTCATTTGGTCAGTTGCTCGCTTGGAGCTGGTAGGCTGGTAGTTGCAGAAAGCCACCATATGGTTATGCAAATCATTAAACATCAGATAAAGCCTATATATGTCGTCCCATTGAACACCGACAGTTATCCATCCCACTTTATACATTATTTAAGGATATTTTAGGTATTATTGATCCATTCTCAAAGAATTGTCTCACAAATCTAAGTTCATGTCTAGAAATTCCAGGATGGTCTAGAGTCTAGATCTCTCACGTTTTTCCATGTGTTTTCCATGCTTCCCCATCAGATCAGCAGTTTTATCCAACTCTTCCTTCGCGGCAAGGCACACTGCCAGCGCTCGGGCGGCCAGAGCCCAGAGTTCGCACGCTCGCAATGGTCCCTGTGGCGGCCTCTGCAATGCCAGTTCTGCCGGGGGAGATCAAGGACTAAAATCTGAGGGGTGTAACCATCACTAGAAATCATGATTTTAGTATATGGTTAATATCCTATATCTGAATGTCTGGTATCACTTAATACCTGAATGGTGAAACATGGGATATAACATGATATAACCAACCATCACTAAGTAATGGAGGCCTCAATGGAAAATTATCTATAACGGGGAATTTGTTTTGGCAATTTGGTTGCCGTATTTTGATGGAGGGTCTATTAGACCATGGTGAAACTATCTGTTGAAATGGTGTAAATCGAGACTTGTATCATTTTTTATGGATCAATCTCGATAGATACCCTCTGGTAAACTAATTAACATAGCTATTGAACATGGCCTTAGAAATAGTGAGTTTTCCCATTAAAAATTGTGATTTCCCATAGTTTTCCCATTAAAAATGGTGATTTCCCATAGTTTTCCCATTAAAAATGGTGATTTCCCATAGTTTTCCCATAAAAAATGGTGATTTTCTATAGTTTTCCCATAAAAAATGGTGATTTCCCATAGTTTTCCCATAAAAAAATGGTGATTTTCCATAGTTTTCCCATTAAAAATGGTGATTTCCCATAGTTTTCCCATAAAAAAATGTGATTTCCCATAGTTTTCCCATTAAAATTGGTGATTTCCCATAGCTATGTTAACATAACCAGAGGGTAGTGCTAGTTTACCATCGGTTGGGATCCCACCAAGAAAACACGATACGCGGCAGATTCACCATTGAGGGAATTGACCCATTCACCCACTGTTTTTGCAGTTTTGGATGGGAATTTTGCATTAAATTTGCGGGGATTTAACTATCAAACATGGAGATGTCTTTGATTTAACTTTTTTTTAAACAAAATCCATGAATGATGAATTATCAATTATGTTTTGTTTTCTTATCATTTGTTATGTTGACATAAATTTTGAGATACCTCCATCTAACCATGAATTTATTGATATCTCAAGACAGTGGGATTTTGCTGCAAGTTCTCAGTCATTGTTGTTTCTTCAATGCTTCCACGTGTGCCATGGTCAAGACTTGGGTTATGACTCCCTACATTAGTTGACTTCATAGGGATATAATGGGATATATGATATATGTATAAACAATAATAACCTACCCATTTGGGAATGGTTTATACCATCTATTTATAGTGGTTTGGGGGATGGTTTATGATTGTTTTAACCACATTGCAACCAACCATAATCAAAAGTTGGATTCTCTACCCACATTAGGGGATGGCCATCAATCCATTTTCATAGGGCTCTCTATCATATATATATATAGATCTGGGTAAATTATAACGACCTCACTGTTCTCCCTCACTGGAATCATGGTTAGTAAGGGGAATCATCCCCAAATGGCCTTAATTCAGGTTAGTGAAATATTATAATATACCCAGATATATATATATATATACATATATATATACAATACAAGGATTCCTATGTTGGGATAGATGACCATAAAGCGTATACCAGGTTTGAGCCGAGCACATGTGTTTATTGTGACTGAGAAAATAAACACAATTCCACTTGATAATGTGGGACACCCAATGCCATAAACCTACCAGTTGGGATGGTAAACATAGCACCCATAAAAATGGTGACTTGGGGATGGTTTATGACCTTGGGTTTGCCACATTACCCCCTCTGGTAAACTAACATAACTATGGAAAATCACCATGTTCAATGGGAAAATCCACTATAAATTGCCATTTTCAATAGCTATGTTAGTTTACCATAGGGTACCTCATGTACTGTATATGTATGATTTTTTGGTTCAGATGGATGGTTCCCCCTGGTGAACCACCCAATCCCACCTGCTGCACTGTCTTATGTTTCGGGTTGCTGAAATCAAGTGTATCATTTTAGGCTTTTTTTTCTCACCTGAGTTCCTCCCAGCCAGTTCTATCTCTAAATTTCTGTTGCTTATTTCTGGTTATACAATGTTATACATCTCCCTTTTTTTGTTTCCAACCATTTTGTTTGAAGCAACACACGGGCCGAAATGATCGAGGCTCTTCCTTCGGAATTGTCGCAACATGACCTTGGTCGGCCGAAGCGAAGGGACACATCTGGAAGGAGGCCGCTGAAGCCGCTAAGGTGATGGGCAGGTGATGAAACGCCGGTGGAGGAAGCACCAAAAAATGATTTAATGGGATTTAATGGTGATTTATGGTGGTTTACTGGGATCTAATGGGATTCTTCGTATAAGGTAAACGTGTATACATAACGAACTGGAAAGATCCACCATCTGACTAATAGGTAAATCAACTATTTCAATGGGCCATGTTCAATAGCTATCTTAGTCATTACCAGAGAGTAATAGAAAAGGCTCCAATACTTCAATGAGTGATGTTTGTTCTTAAGCCATCTATGCTTTCGGGGGTCCAACAATATGGACCCATACCCCAGGGTTCGACAAAAGGCTGTGGGTGCAGCAGGTAGAAGATTCCCTGGCCAGACATGAACCAGTCAAATTGCAGAAACTTAGGGCTCCCAAAATTCAAGTGAAAACAAGTTGAATGCCACACTGCCACACGCAGCAAAAATGGATAGATGCAGGACTATGTAGAAATATAGAAACAGCATCCCATCTCCCTAATATCAAATACCCTCTGGTTATGACTAACATAGCCATGGTATAGATGGCCCATAGAAATAGATGGTTGACCGTTCTTTAAAATGGTGAATCTTTCCATGGCAAACTGTTAGTCATAACCAGATGGTACTTCTATTTCATCCTAAGGCAAGATAAGGCAAGTATTGTCCCATGATTTCAACTGACTTCCCCCAAAAAATTGGCGAATCCCATCCCCTCTCCGAAAAAAAACAGGTTTGCTGGCACCGGGCAACAGCTTCTGGCGGGTGCGGAACACCAAGCCGCAGGCAACCGACTGAAACAGCTGGAGAGAGGTGAGTGCTTGGTCACTGCGCAAAGGATTGGCGTTGAAACTTTTAATTTGGGGCAGTAGCTACTGAATCTGGGTATCAAATCATGCTATAGCTAAGACCCTAAGATTAACCTTTATGTTTTTGTATGTGTTTAAAAAAAAAAGTCGAGTTAGTCACACCGTTTTGGGCACCCCAAAATCCAATGTCTTGTCATCTAAATGTCGCAGAACAAACACAAAAACATGTTGAGGATATTAACCCGCCATTTCCGGATGAACTGTATCTTTTCATCTACCACTCTTTGGTAATGGAAAACATAGCTATGGAAGTGTATGGAAAATCTCCATATCTCCATTGTGAATCGGTAAATCAATATAACGAAAAATGTAAACCAATGTAAATAATCTTCGTCAAATTATCGTCATCGCAAATTCCAGGAGACCTGAGGCTAAGTTCTGAACAGATGAAGCTTTCTGTTTTTTTTTTCTGGCTGGGTCATCTTTAACATCGATTCGCATAGAACGATTTTTCGAACGCGGCAGTGTTTACGGTGCAGGTGAGGGGCTATTGTTTGCTGAAATTGGATAGCTGCGAGGCGGGTGTTTTGGGAGATTTAAACAATGGGAAGACGTGTATTTAGTGGGGATATCATGGGGATGTTATGGCGATGTTATAGGGATATCATGTGGGATACAATGAACATATGATTCAATGTATAACTATACAACCAGCAATATAGATCAATATAGTATGGTGGATGGAAAAAGCATGGAACATCATCAAAGATCATCAAAGTACATGGTGGTCCCCTTCTGTATGCGATGCGGAGTTTGAAGCACCAGAACTGGGATAAAAATCGGGGTCATTTACTGAGCGACTCTCCGACCAGAGCTCATATAAACGATGGTGTGTTATTATATAATTATATAGCATATATATATAGCATATACTGCAATTATATAGCATCTGTATAATCTGTATACTTGTTTTTTTTTGTATCCTGTGTTGATATACATATGGAATGTAACTATTCTTTTTGTCGGATTTAGGACTTAAAAATAACTATAATTTGGTCTAGGTACTTGGCTCTGAGCATCAACCGAATGCTAAAACACCCAGTTGTTTGGATAGCGTTTGAAATTTGTACCACACACGAATCTTGATATGGTCAAAATGACACGCCCCCCAAAAATGGTGTTGATTCCAAACACAAACACATTTTTGAAATTACTGAACTGCTTTCGACGTGTTGCAATGGTTCTCTCTTTGGGACATCACTTTTTTCCCCCATCATCTCATCTGCGATTTTCGGGAAATGATTCAGGGGGTTCCTTTTCCATTACTTCTCCGGGATGATCATGATCTGATCTCCAGGAATGGATTGAATGGATTGAATGGATTTTTCACGCAGAGATTCTTCGATTGCGATTTTTGTCATTCTGAGACTGCCTTTTTTTGCAGAGAATTTTCACAGGTTCCAGGAGGATGACTTTGTCACGATGGTTTTTTAAAAGGTCCAACTCCCAGTGTTGGTTTAATTCAAGGCCTGGTAAATCACCGCAAATCCCTAGAATTTGCTGGGTGATACCGGGTGATACCCCAGGAGGTCACATGGTCACGCTCGCATCAACGCCAAGCCATAGCTGCAGGACATGCGAATTTCCAAGCTCCAGCTGCACGATTCTCCCATGTACCAGGTTGGAAATTACCGTCAATGTGGTGTTTCTATGAGATCAATAGCTGTATCAGCTGTATCATTGACAGTTGGTAATGGGGGTTGACTTTCCAGTTGGTTACCAGACGCTACCTGATTATTTTCTGGGGATGCTTGTAAAGGGAGGGCTATTTACTTTTGGATATTTTTTTCCGCGGAAGGTTTTGGATCTTTTTTTGGGGTTCCTGGTTCCATGCTTTCCTGTTTCTCTGATGTTCTGCTTTTCTGCTTCTCTGCTTTTCTGCTTCTCTGCTTTTCCTGCTTCTCTGCTTTTCTGCTTCTCTGCTTTTTGCTTTCCCTCTTCTCTGCTTTTCCTGCTTCTCTGCTTTTTGCTTTTCCTGCTTCTTTGCTTTTCTGCTTCTCTATTTTCCCTGCTTCTCTGCTTTTGTACTGCTGTGCCTTTCTACTTCTACTATTCTACTTTTTCTTTTCTTCAGTCATGTGTTTTTGCTGCTCTACTTCCTGCTCCTTTGCTTCTTTGCTTCCTGTCTTTACCGTCTCTTTGTTTTTCATGTTCTTTTGCTTTATTCTGGTCTGTTTGTATCCTAAATGAAACCCTAGAGAGACCCTAGGTGAAACCCAAAGAAACCCTAAAGAAATCCTGATAAGAAACCCTACATGAAAACCTAAATGAACTCTAAAGAAACCATAAATGAACCCTAAAGAAACCATAAATTATTCCTAAAGAAAACATAAATGAAACCCTAAAGAAACTTTAAATGACACCCTAAATGACATCCCAAAGAAACCCTACACAACACTCTGAAAACAAAAAAACTAAATGAAACCCTAAACGAAACCCTAAAGAAACCCTAAATGACACCCTAAATGAAACCCTAAAGACGCCCTAAAGAAACCCATTTGAACGTTTTGAACTCCTGATAAGATATCCTGATAAAACCTGCATGACACCGGAAAAAAAAACCTAAATGAAACTCTAAAGAAACCCGAACCCTAAAGAAACCCTAAATGAAACCGTAAAGAAACCCTAAATGAAACCCTAAAGAAACCCTAAATGAAACCGCAAATGAAGCCCCAAATAAAACCCTTAATAAAACCCTAAATGAAACCTTAAATGAAACCCCAAATGAAGCCCTAAATAAAACCCTTAATGAAACCCTAAATGAAACCTTAAATGAAACCCTAAATGAAAGCCTAAAGAACCCTCAAGAGACCCACATGAACGTTTGAAGCACCAAAATGTGGCAAATACCACGCAAATGAGAGGTTGAAATGCAAAAATATGACAAATACCATGCAAAATGGAAGGCAAACATGGCCAAATGTAGCAAATACCATGCAAAAATGCAAAGTGACCATGTCAAAATGTAGCAAATACCATGCAAAATGACAGGTTCTAGTTCTAAACTGTTGCAAATACAAGGAAAATGGTACCGGGAAAGAAAGCCAAAAAAAGATCTAAAACCTGAGGCAAAAAAAAATCCAAAAACTATTCTACACCCCTTGTAAAGTTTTGTAAAGGCTGTCGCCATGTGTCTGAACCTACCATAACAAAAAGAGTCTTTCAAACCACAACAACTGGTTTGGCCTTCTTTGGGGCTCTCTCTCTTTCTCTCTGCAAGATTTTAAACTATGTCAAATCTGTGTGCAGTCAATCCTTACTCATGGAAGTCTTCACAGTGTTTTTTTTTTAAGGGTAAGTGGGATTTTGATCCCTATCTATCATTGTAGCTATTTAGAAGGCAACCTGCACAAGAAACCATTGGTCTTAACTGTCAAACCCCGAAGACAATATGATACAATCAGACACATATATATAATCATTTTATATATATCATATCTATATTATCATATCATATCTATATTATAATATTATAATATGATATGTATATACATACACTACATATATATATATACATTAATATATATATATATATATACATTGATATATACATTGATATATATATATATACATCATAATATATATAATATATCATTATATATATATATATATACATATATATATATATTATGATATATTATATATATTATATTATATTACATTGTATTTCTATTATAATATAATATTATATATATATATTATTATATTATATATACATATCCTGGTTTCCCAAGAGATATCAGGGTTACCATGGCTTTCCTGCATGTTCCCTTAGTTCGTTCAATCCTCTGCAGGTGGTGGTGGCTCGTAGCCATGAGGTGGAGCTGAATGGAACGGATCTCAGCAGTTCAGACCCCCCGGCCTGGTTGAATCAACCGTGGGAAAACCATAGGAAAACCATAGGAAAACCATAGGACAATGGGAAAATCATAGGAAAACCCATAGGAAAATGGAGGTTTACCCGGCCTGGTAAACGTACACAAAAAACGATGGACAGATCCACCATGCTATTAATGGGAAAACTCACTATAAATGACCATTTTTCATGGGAAAACTCACTATAACATTGACTAACCTTGATATTCTTTTGACTAACCATGATATTGAATGATTATCACAAGCCATTAACGGGGAATCCTCTTCTCAACCAGTCAAAAGCGACAACACGGGGTTTTGAACACTGGGAATCCTGTTCTATCATTGGGATGTAAACTTAATATGCGCAACTAAAACAGATATTAAGTAATTACTTATATAATGGGGAAGTGGGGAATGGTTCGATTCATGGATCAAGATACATTCATGCGGTAAATCATCTATAAATGGCGACATAATGGTGACATAATCAGTTTTTGATGTAGATGATGCTTTTTAAACTCGCAGGGGCGCGCGCTAGGCTCACAGCCTGTGTTACGTGTTTTTGATGGAGATGATGTGGTAAACCCATTGTCACAAAATGTCCCCAACCGCCAGAAATGGGTGTAGTTATATGAGCTATATGCACCACAATGATTACTGGGTTTATCTTGGGTGTACCACATTATGTGGAACATAATTTATCATTCCATGACTCATGAAACAACGGTGAACAGGAACCCTGAAAACCAGCAAACTCATGACATTCATGGCCAATTCCGAATGGAGTCGGTTCCAAGGCTTACGGATCACCTTGTCCAACCAAGCGCTTGGGGACAGCGGTGCGCACAACACGGTGCCGTCCTTGGTCAGTGGTGAGCGTCGCGGAAAACTGCCAGATGTGTGGAAGTGATTTGCCAGGTCTTTATGAATTTTGATATGTGTACTTTATAGATCTCTATAGATGTCATTAGATGTCCTTAGATGTCATTTTTTTCAAGGGTGGAAAAAGAGGATGTTACCCTCCAGTTTTCAAAATCATTTGGATGGTTTGGCTGATGCTGCGTATATCACCGGTCCCAACAAAAAAACTAAAAAAGGACATCATTGATCTTGCTGCTGGTTGTGATTCACAATTTGTTGGCTGAAGCTATTGAAACTTTCCATGAAACTCCCAGAATCGTTAATGGAAAGATGACATTCCCATGTCGTTACGACTAATGTCCCCTGTTGAAAGATGTTGAAACCACTTTCCCTGATATTTTAGGATATATCTTTTCACGAGGATTCAGAGCCATGTGCTTGATCCAAGCCAGAATTCAGCATGCTACTTTAAGATTTAGCCTTGTTCTTGGTTTCATCCGCTAGTGTATCACTGAATCCTTTATAGATGGACTATACTAACCAACTACAACAATAGTTAACAATATATCTGGCAATCTTGCTGGTATCTCAGATTTGCCATGGTTTTTCTGTGTTTTTTTTAATATCCAAATCGCACACCTCTCTCATCTCGAAGCTGCTACGTGACTCTCAGGATGGTGTCAACATCCTGAATTCCTCACGGGTGACCTTACGAAGAAGCGCCGGGATGCGAAGTTCCAGAAGTTCCTTCTGGATTTTTTTTGGGGGGAATGATGGTTAAAGGCGTCCCCAAATCATGTTTCGAAACATGTTTCTTAAATATCTTTAAATGGCATGAAGAAAAATGGGGTTTGAAGTTCATTTTGGGCACAGGTAAACAGGTTTTTTATTACTGTGACTGGGTCATATTGTAGCTTAGAAAAGCTGAGGTTTTGCCAGGTTTTTCCACACAAAAAAAGAGTCACCGGAGTCGCATCCTGGGCCCTGCCCTCAAATCTTGGATCGTGGTCATCGAAGCAGGTCATTGAAAGTGGTGACGATAACGTGGTTGTCAAAGAGGCGGGGTGTGATGATGGTGGATGGCCATCATTCCATTTTCATAGGGATTGTCTATAACTATATATACCATGTATATGATGTTTGGAATCCATCTGACATGAACGATCATAAACTTCATAAATCATTCCAGCTCGCAATCAGATTCTAGAATCAGTTCGGAAGTGTTCATATTGTGACTTCATTCGATGGGAAATGGAGAAATGGGTCCTTAGAGAAGGTCTTCAGAGTCTTCCCGCTGTCGAAAAGAAAAACACCACAACTAGCTAATCGAACACTGTTCCAAGTTCAAGCAAATATATGTTCCCATCGTCCCTGATTTCAAGCAAACATCCATTACAGCTATATCCAAACATGAATCCAAGTTCAGTCACAAGATCCACGTCCACATGTCGTTCTTTGAGGGCTCTTCCGACATTTTTGCGGAGAGCTTACAACTGCGTCGTGGCAAAGGCAGGGGATGTTCTACCTGTCCTGCTTGGGATAAGATTCTTCGGTGAATCATGATGAATCATGGTGAAACCAAGAACATACTCTGTAGAAAAAGTAGAAGGGGTCTCCAACAAGCAAGTCAGCAGACGAAATGGAACTTGAAGCAAGAGAAAGGGAGCGAAATGATAAGAGCTCCGTTCGATGGTCCGCCCTTTTTCGGGTTTCTCCTGCATCTTGGGACCTCAAACTTCTGCCAGAAGTCGATTCGTTTCCAATTGGTACACGTAGTGGAAGCGTGGAAGCGGTCAGATTTGTTGACCTATAGATGGTTGACTATCTGATAGATTGAAGCCATTTCAGCCCTCACAATCCTCACATCTATCAGAAATCTCAAAATATAGCCTCTAGTACCCAAACATGGCTAGCTGGAAATTCCCTATCAATTGAGGTATAAATAGGAAAATCCAATATAAAATGGAAGATGTTGGATGATTTTCCATTGGTTTTCCATGTTTCAGATCTGTTCACATCCCAACATCCATAGCATCGATGGTTTCCAGGTGTGAGTATTGGCTCCCTAGGGGAGCGAGAGGCCGAGGCCGCTGAAAAAAGGGGTTCTTGGGAAACTTTGGCAAAGATGAGTTTGACCAGCAATCATAGAGCTGTCAGAATTTGATTGTCCCAATTCTGTGATAATAATAAGAATAATAATGATAATATATATATATATAAAATATTTATCCATACACGTTCATATAAAATACATATGGAGATGTAATTCAATTCATTCATAGAGAGATGTAAATGGCAATGTGCCCATATATATATATAATATATATAATATGATATACCATCAATTTTCCATTACCACACATTTTCACGCACGTTTTCGACGTTGGCAGGGGCAAGAAGTGACCAACGTGCTCTTCCGGGATATCTCGTCGGATCACTGCGTTGGAGATCTCGGAAGTCGCTTCATGTGGCGATCCTGGGAGGAAAATCGCAGAAATCCTGAGGGAATACCCTCTGGATCCTCTGGTAATGACTAACAGTTTGCTATTTATAGTGTATTTACCCATTTTTTCAATGGTGGATCTTTCCATAGTTTTTTCTATGCGTACCAGAGGGTACTCATCTAGTTACTGAAACCAACGATTTAGATCATGCTCCAAGTCCTAACTTTGGGGTTGAACATGGGCCCGGATATGGAAAGTTGGAATGTTATTTGATGAAAAAACAAATGGGTAAACAGGAATTATACATTTCATATGGCAGTAAGATATGCAGAGCCCTTCCAAATAGATCCGAATAAGGGGGTTGAAGACCGCTTTCATCTAAACACAGGCTATTACTATTGCCATCTATTACCGTGGTCTGTGTTAGTCTAGGGGACGGTAAATTCCATTTGACTTCAGAGGAAGTAGCCCAATACGTTTTTTTCCCAGGCAGAAGTGGAATACAGTGGAAATCACACCGGAAAAAGCAAGCATTGGCCAGAGAGATTTGCAACATTTTGTTGTTTTTCATATTCATTAAGTATCAATATTTGACATTCGCATGAACTAACCAGAATCTGGCTGCGGACCACTACTAGCATCAAGAAATCAGATACAAACCAATAAAAGCCGGGACATTGACCGACAAAAAAAATATAATTCGCTGAGCTCAGCTATAACAAGATGTGCGAATACTGACTATCAGCTGAGCGGGTTGTTCAGTTTGCCAAGGAGACCATACCTCACCGATAGGAAATCACCAGACATTTTTCATGGCTCCAACAAGGGAGTGAAGAAACCACAGTGCGGATGCAAACCCCAACCAGATTGTTTTTGCTGCTAGGTGTTAGTTTTCAGGTTTCCCATGGTTTTCCATGGTGAGATCCTGGCCTTGAAACCTCCTTGTGGGGAGCTGGACGAGCTCTCCTTCCAGGTCCATGGTGTTCGCATCAAGACGTGGAAGGCGCCTACTTCGGCGGATTTTTTTCGAAGTGCTACCAGCCTCTGGTCATTACACTTTGCTATGGGAAATCACCCATTTTGAGGATTTAACTACAAGAAATTAGAAATTGTATGACATTGTTGTTTTAAGTTTTTTTTTGTTTTTTTTGTGTTTTTTAATAGCAATTGTTGATATGTTGAATTACCAAAGGGTATGACATGTTTGTCTTGTGGTTCTGGGTCAAGGTGGTGTTTTTATGTTCATATTCATTGGGAGAATGTCGATCTTGATATATTGATTCTGCTGGGTGAAACAAACCCAGTCGAAGCAAAGAGGACGATTTGACGTTAAACAATACACCAGTTATAGAATAATTGGTTAACATTATATACTAATTATACTAATTATACTAATACTGGTTGGTGGTTTGGAACATGGCTTTTATTTTTCCATATATTGGGAATTTCATCATCCCAACTGACGAACTCATATTTTTCAGAGGGGTAGGTGGCTCAACCACCAACCAGTGGTCCATGTTTCCTGGAATGACTTCAATGTTTGGGTCTGGGATTGACAGTTTAGTACCTTGATTTTTCCTGTGCTGTTCATGGGGATGTAGACTAACCAGACAAACAACCAAAAACAGCCACTTTTGTGGGGTAACATTGGACAATGACAGCCACGATTTCCAGTCGGCATCATTCCAGCCTGTGCGATTCCGAGTTTGTTGGGAATAGGCCCTCAAAGTGTGATCATCAAATCGAGAAAGTCATGTTCTCAAGCCTTGAATTTGGGGTTATCCCATTTTCAGACAAGTCAACAAGAAAACCTTCGCTGCCATCATAACAAACCCTTGCTTGGTATTGAATCTATTTGGCGGCCATCGCGTCAGGGTGCAAGAGGCTTGGTGCAAAATGCCGGGATCCACAGCGCAGGATTTCTTCAGTCGGCGTCGTCCTATTTGAGGGTTTCTTAAGTCACGGGGGACCCCCAAGTCACCATGGCTTTCAATACTAAGTCATGGTCATCCATGACAACTGGATGATTTGGGGTACCCCTATTACAAAAGGGACACCTCCATTTGAGATGATGTATCTCCCAGGGGGGTTGAGACCACCAACCAGTCAGTGAAAGCTACTGGAAATCGGTGATAGTGTGTAGCCACAGGTGTTTTTTTTCATAATTTGGATACTAAGTTCCCTTTTTTTGCAACTGGAAACCATGGACTGGAAAAAGACTTGAAACCAAGAACCCCCTCGAGCTGTTCTCATGGATGTCAAACTGTTCTCATGGATGTCATGGTTAGAATGTCCCAACAGAAGTATCCCAGATATTCACTGGGATATTTGGTTGGATTTGATTGGGAAAAGAAAAAAAGATGAACTATTTATCCACATTTATCCAACGTAGCCATGTTGGGATATACCGGATCTTCATTCCAAGATGTGCCATGGTCAGGTTAGATGGTATACTGAGTACCCTCTGGTAAACTAACATAACTATGGAAAATCACCATTTTTTATGGGAAAATCCACTATAAATGGCAATTTTCAATAGCTATGTTAAATTACCAGAGGGTATACTGGGGATGGTCGTCAATCCATGACTTTTTTGGAAACCCGTGTCACATGGATTCATTGGGATTCTCATTCCCATGGAATGGCATGGGATGACCAGATGTCCATCCATTCAGCAAACGGGAAAGCTCTAGGGGATGAAACAATGGAAAATCAGGAAATGAGTTGATGTTCACAGCCATAACATCCATTTACTTTGGAGATTTCCCATTGCTACGTTTGATTACCGGAGGATGTATTATATTATTTTAAAAAAATAGGTGTCAGATCTATTCACATCGAGGCCACCTTTGAGCGCTTCAGGGTGGCAGACGTGATGGTCGGTTGGAGCCTGAGAAGTTAAACCTGCTTGGTTTTGGCGACTTAAAAATACCTGGGTGGTTCCAGGGTTTTTTGCAACATTTCAATGGGTTCTTGAGTACAAGATACGGGCCCTGGGATGCTACTCCAAGTAGCCTATATCATCGTATATCATCGTATATCTATAGATTTTACAGTGTATATTAGCGCGATTTTTTTATCACTGAATTTATCCTCAATGATCCGTTTTTTTTGTAAGACACATATGTTGTCAATATGTGGTATTCGCTGATTACACTCCCACGTATTCTTGGTAAGCAGGGAATTTGCTCAGGCCATTTGCCTCAAGCCTGACAAATCGCATCCAAATGCTACCTTCATGATAGTCATATTGGAATCAGATTTTTATATATATATATATATAATAGCTATTGAGACAAAGTTGAGGCCCCCAACACGATAGCTAAATTGGATGATGAGTCTGATAACTATAGGATTTTTGGTAGATACAACTATGGTTTTTACGGAGTTTACACGGAGTTTACCTCATTTTTCACCGTAAACTTCGCCCCTCCATCATCCCTTGGTTTGAGGTATTCTCATCGACCAAACCTATTGTCCTCCTTCACAGAGGCTGCAGAGAACTGGTTGAGACGTCCCATTAGCACAACTGGCAAAAAATATTCCATATATTGAGGCAGGGATTGGTAAATGTCCCATTTTGGGTATATTGGACATCACCTTATAGTAGCCATTATAGACCATATACCTAATGGTTGGGTGATGTTCAATGGGGACATTTAATGACCCATATATTGGGGTATAATACTATCAGGGGGGGTATCCACAACATTCCATAACCCCATAATATCATCCAAGTAGTATGGGATAGTCACTGGTAGTAATATATACTGTAAATATTCCATCCTGATAGTATTATCATGCTTTGGGGGGCCCACCCTGGGGTAAACGTTTGTATGGACAATTACCATGAAAAGTCGTTTCCTCAGGAAATCATCGATGGTTGGCTCAGGTGCCACTAAATTTGGGAACGATTTATGGCCATAAAAAACGACAACTGGAAAACACGAATCATGAACTGTGGGATTTTAAGGTGTTTCCACAACATAGTGACATAGTGAGACAAACAAAAAGTGTCCGGTTGTCACCAGCAGAAATGGAAGAGCTGTATTTGGTTGAGTGGATACTAGCTATTGCCATCAAGATGCAGTATGGGAGAAGAATATGATGCGTTTGGTAATGGGCACAACACGTTTTCAAAAGAGGACTTTGTGGTGCCTTTGGTTCCGGTCCCCTGTTTTCGCGTTCATTTCTCAAAGATTCCAGCCGCAATTTAACGAGGTCAAGGTCATACTTACACAACACTTTGACAACAGATGTTTCCACAGGAAAAAGAAACATAAATCCATAAATCCAACCCTAAGTTTGCACCAAGACAATACTGTACCATCAGAATTCAATCTCATTGCAGTAGCCGATCTTCAGATCTTCCATCATGGTATTGGTCCAGAGTCGTGGACCGTTTTGGATCCACAAAATTAGTCATTTTTTCACATGAAACCAATGATCTTGGCCCCATACCCAAATATGTTCACCGTATGTGCATCCACATCCTCTCCTGCAATTGTCAGACAACCTCTAAAAACACCCTGGCAAAACATAGGCTTTCCTGAAACTTGCGGATACTGCTACCCCAACCTGCCATCATGCCATCGCCATCATGCCATGATCCTAAAAGAGGCCCGAAGGCTGCGCTTCGGAAGACGCCACAGCCGCCATACGCATCCAGCAGGCGTATCACCCAAACGTTTTTTTGTTGTTTTGTTTCGATATCGCCACAGGGATGTTGGGGGTTTTCCATGGCTTTTACAAACCATTTATGGGGATATGATATGAATGGATCAACACTGGGGATTTGGACGAGGTGTTTAGTTGATACGTTGGAACCATCCGGATAAATCTCAAAGTGACACCAAACCAGTTTGGATTAGCCATGCTTCATCATGCTGCATCATGGTTTTGGCATGGTTTTTGCAAGATCACAGCTGTGGTCGCTAGCTAAACAATGCTACACCACATATAGTGAACTAAACCACATACAGTGAAGACATGTGAAGACCTACACACCCGCATTTCGCGAATCATTTGGACCCATAGGTTTTCCCATAGGTTTCCAAATGATTTTCCCAGCGGCTGATCCCCAAGTCATGGTCAAGGTGCGCTTCAGAGACTTCTCTGGAACGTTTCAGCAGATGGACCGCAAGGCGAGACGCTTTTTGTGGACATAGCTGGAGGGTTGGATCCAACCAGGCTCCCTTGATCCGTTGATCCGTTGATACGTGAAACTTATTATATGTATATGTATAATAATTATATATATATAATATATTATGTATATGTATATGTATGTAGATATAAGAAACTATGATAGAATATTAAACATATATGACAGTTGAACTGGAAACAATAGGGACATTAAGGATCTAGATCTGTTTGGGGGACGGAATTGGCCAGACAGGCGGTCAGGAGGATTGCTGATTTGATTGATTTGTTGGTGATTTTTTACAGGCGCAAAGATGTTGTCTGTAGATTATGGTCGAGACCACAATTATCCCCACGGGATCGGGTTTGTTGGCTATCCAGACAGGGTTTTGATCATTTTTGGCACGGAACTCTCCAAAACTGGACAAAAAGAAAAGTGGAAAAACACATTGGAGCCTTATCGAGTACTTTGCAGAGCGTTGGCAATTTGATGCGTGACTTATGGCTTTATTTAGGGGTTGAAACCTTAACCATAGGACATGATGAGAAAATATGAAATGAATGATGGATATTTTGATCCATGGTTGCTTTCATATAACGGGCTGTGTATCCCCCAATGCAGGTCAAATCAACTGCGATCACGGGAATCCCGAATATTCAAGATCCCCAAGTGAAAGCCGGTATTCCAATGGCATCCTGTGACAGAACCAGACAGCAATCTATTGACAACAATCTATCAGAATACTTTGGTGTCAAGTGTCGCCACATCAATACATGCAGTTAACATCAGTTAACCATATCCTACCAAGTCAGATCATAAATCTGAATATAATTGAATATAATTGAATATATATATATATATTATGATATGAAACATATAATATTATAATATATGATATATAATGTGTGTTGTGAATAGTTAATTGAAAAGATATTACATTCAGAATACACTCCTTCAATGCGCCGCGCCGTGGCGCCGTGGCGTTTCAGGTGCTCTGCTCTGCGTGCGACTCCTGGGACTGGGATCGGACTGGGACCTGTCGAAGTCCTGGTGATTTCAGTAAATTGATGGTGAAAAATTGATGAACAAATTGATGATCATATCTAGTTTTTTTTAAATATATAGATGTTACAAAACACCAATAGATGTTACTGATGAACCAAATTTCACCAGTTGGGTTGTTGGGTTTCAAACTCTAAATATCAGATATATGATGAACCAAAATTTAACCAGTTACTGGTGATGAACATATCAGTTGATGAAAATTGATGGAATTGTTTAGAGTAATTGGGTTTCAAAGTCTAAATATCAGTTGATGAACATGAAAATTCATGAAAATTGGGAACATGCTGCACCATGCTGTGCTTCCAATGGAACTACGATTCTCGACACGAGTGTCGAGTGTCTAGGTGCGATGACGTGACCTACGAGAACATTGCCTTGCGCCCGGCCGGTCCAGCAATCCCGCAACGGGCGGGGAGCGTGTATCGTTTTAGCCGATGAGTTGAGCAACGGCGCAACCATGGGAAGCATGGGAAGCGAGAAATGACTTATCACGTGGATGTTGTTTGAGTTTTGTTGAAGCAGTTTGATGATGTTTGATGATGTTTGATGTATAGATGCAGTTGCTGGTTTCAGATATGTTGGGTTTCACTGATACTCCTTATTGTACCTGGGATGATGATCCTAGGTGTTTCACGATTTTGTTTAAATATCTTGGAGATGGATGTGTGGTTGAAAGTTGATGAGTTTTCCAGGTCCTCTCCTGGCACGTTTCCTCCCCAGAGTCCCCCTGCGCCATTTTCACCACAGATCGGGGCGGTGAGTTGGAGACTCCACTGTAGTAACTGGATGCAACTGGGATGTCAGTCCCTTTTGGTCCTTTAGAAATCTTCAGAACGAGGAAACAGTTGAACTATAACCCAGTTACTCAGTTGTATGTTGCTGTCCATGTGCTAAATTGAGGGAATGCAAAGGGAACTGAAACATATTGAAACAATCAAGAATTTCCAAGCTTCCCCGTAAAATGCTGCGGCACCCCAGTGGCTGTGCCTGCGCACGGACCCCACGTTGCCGTTTGCCGCCGTTTGCCGCGGCCGCGCCAGAGATGGCGAAGACTGGGGAGAAATGGTGGGCCATTGGCTGTGGCAACGTATGGATCTTGACTCTGTGTGTAAACCTTGGGTAAACGGTTTGTCAACCTCAAGCCCAGATTATAAGATATTACAAGTAGTTAACCCCCAGGCTACCCATGGGTGCAATAGTGATCCCAAATCCTGAGGACATGGGAAGCTGTCCTCCTGAATTCCAATATATCATCTAGTCAAAATGAGTCACATTCCAGAGTTCGCCAAATATACTAGTTTACTCGTATGTAATATTACATAGTGGAAGAATATACAAGTATACCTCAAAATACCTCAAATATCCTGATCATATGAATCATATATATATATGGGGGTTTCCATAAATGGGGGGGTACGCCCAAATGGATGGTTTATAATGGAAAATACAATTAAAATGGATGATTTGGGGGTACCCCTATCTCAGGAAACCTCCATATATATATATTATATATATATATACATATTCAAATATGGCAAGATGAGGTTTTCATCAGGCCTTCCAAGTTCACCGGGTTCCTCTAGGGCCCCTTATTCGCGTGGCAAAAATAAACACCATTGATTTATCAAAAAGTACAGCAAGGTCCAGCCTAAATGAGGCAGGGGAGTTACCCTACATGGGGGTCACCAGGCCAACAGCAGTACCGTGAGGTCCCAGTTTGAAGAGCTTCACCGTAGCCATTGTTTGCTCAACATCGTGAATTTATTCACATCCCATCTGAAGAATTGTTGTGACATGTTGTTACTATGGACATGTCATAGTTATTTATTCTCAACAATTCTCGACATCTTGTTCTCTCTAGCCACTTGACCAGTCATTTTCTGGCTTGGTGAAATTCTCGCCCTGTTTGGGCCCTGTCAATCTCCCCTGAAAATAAGTTGTTGAACAATCCCCCTAAGAAATCCTAATTTGAGAATGTACAAGACTGTGTTTTGTTTCTAATTTGTTCATGTTTCTGTTCATTTTGGTAGCGTTTCTTCCGGTAGGGTGATGTGAGCCATTCCGCTGAATGGCGGAATGGGAGCTGACATGACGTCCGGAAACCAAGGTGATCTTGGTGCACTTCCAAAGATGACCTTGATATACCTTGATCATCCTTGATCCTTGATCCTTGATGCGTATTGGATTCATGGTATTTCTATGTATTTCTTTGGGTTACATGTTTTTCAGGTGTAGAGTAACTTCTAATGGTCATTGTTTTCTATCTCTGTACCTCCAAACATGTGTGACCTGTTTAAACGTATCAATGTCACTTGAGAGTTTTTTTGTCCTATGAGATGAGACCCCGAATCAGTTCTCCCAGTTCATTCAAATCCATTTTGACGAAACATGTTTGCTTTTGCCATCTTGCAGGTCTCCGACGAGAGAGGTACAGTTGTAGGGCCTCGATATCAAGCATGACATGCATATGTCGCATTCATGCCATCATAAATTCTCCCAGTTTCAGTTCGCATATGCATGAAACACTCAAGAAACCACCTCCAAACATTCCATCCAAACATATCCAAACCCCCTAAAATCTCTGCCGTCGCCGCAGTTTCCGCTTTCGGCTGAGCCCCCGTTCGAATCGCCGTTGCGCGTTTCGCCGTCCTCGCCATGGCACGTTTGGCCGTCGTTGGTGTCTTGCTGGTGACCTCGCTGGCCTTCGTGGCCCCCAAGGTGAGCACCCCGCGTGTGGTGCGTCACCAGGTACCGAGGTCGGCGCCGTCCTCGGAGTCCTCGGGGTCCTCGGGGTCCTCGGGGTCCTCGGGGTCGATGATGGCAGTGGTGCTGGGAGTGATCTTTGGAAACTTGACTCATTCCCTGAAAAATGATGAATATATATGACTGGTTGGTGGTTTCAACCATTTTTTATTTTCCACAATATATATGGGATAATCCTTCCCATTGACTTTCATATTTTTCAAGATGGTTAAAACCACCAACAAGATGAACATGATGAGGTTTTTGGCAACTGGCTCAAAAACATGGCTTGCTGATCCATTGTCAAATGTGTTGACCGGTTTTGACATGGTTTAACCGTTTTACCATCAAAAAAATGAGGATTCCATGAGTTTCCATGAGTATCCCATTGTTCCCTTCGAAACTCGCGATTCACCAAGGAATTGCCTTGCTTCCCCACAGCGCTCTGGCGGGCACTGGGTCATCTCGACCCGAATTCCAGTTGGTTCGACCCAGCTACATGCAGGCTGCGGGATCCGGGAATTGGGTTGATTGCTGAGGATTGGTTGCTGGTTGATGCTGTTGGGAATCACTTCAAAACTGCTTCCGTCTAACAACTGGGCTGATGATACCGATGATACCGGGTGACTCTTGTGTTGTTCATGGCTTCAAATAAAACCGACCCCATACCCCGTGTATATTGGTCAAATTCATGTCTTTAGTGGGTGAACTCTGTATTTTGCCAAAGTCCAACTAGATCACAACAGTTTATATATAGTTACATGTTCAACATATGGTCAACATATGTCAAAAAGAACATGTTTCACAACATGATAATCATGATATGGTTTTTTCCATGGAGTTTGTAGACTTTCCATGGAGTTTTCTCATCTTCCCACCATTTCTACTGCGATAACGAGCCCGACTCGCCCGGTAGCCCGGTCCAGGGCATCGATGCAGCCAATGCAGCGGTGAAACCTGGGGAGATCGACTATATCACGCGCTCCCGCATCGAGGCGACGGAGTTCAGTTCAAGATTTTTTTTTGGAGGGTCAAATGGTAAAATGCCATGGAACATCACCATTTTTAATGGGAAAACTCACTATAAATGGGCATTTTCAATAGCTATGTTAGTTTACCAGAGGGTGTATATGTATGTATGTATGTATGCACCAGGCCCTGCCACCCCCCCCCTCCCCCCCATATGGGATGGGTCCCATATACTGGTCCCATATGAGATCTTCCCCCTCCCCCCCCTGTGGTGTGGTGGGGGTGTGGCACTGTCCCCCTCCCCCCCCTGTGGTGTGGTGGGGGTGTGGTATGGTATGGTGGGTATGTATGGTGTGTATGGTCGGTCTGGTATGGCATGTTTGGAAAGTATGGTATGTTTGGTATGTATGGTAGGGATGGTATGTATGGCATGAGTGGTTGGTATTGTATGGATGGTAGGTATGGTATGTAAGTCTGTTGGGTATGGTATGTTTGATATGACAGTATGTATGGTCTGTATGGTATGTATGGTTACTATGATGGGTATGGAATATTTCCTATGTAAGGTAGGTGTGGTATGTATGGCATGTATGGTTGCTATTGTATGTATGGTAGGTGTACGTAGGTGTGGTAATTACATTTCATATGTATGGTATGTATGGTATGTATGAAAGATATGATAGGTATGGTATGTTCGGCATCATTGACATGTATGGTAGGTACGGTATATGTTAAACACAGGTAGTGTTGTCAGAGTACACAGGTAGTAAATAGGAAGTAGATACAGTAGATACATAGCACATATATATATATATATGACTATAGGTAGCACGTAGGTACTTTGAAGGAGTATGTGTGCTACGTAGGCCGCCTAAAAGGTAGCATGTATCTAGTAAATGCGAGGCTGGTAGTCAGAAATGCTGCAAAGACCTAGCAAATACGCAGCTGGACCTCAGAAATGCTGCCAATAGCTTGCAAATAGAAGGGAATTGGGGCTGCTACCTGGGGACCCAACCCATGGGGGGGGGTGGAGAGACGGAGGACGGGACCATATATACAATGTATATATATATATATACATTGTCATTTATAGAACTATATACTATAATAGATTACAATATCATAATCAAGCTATATACATATTATATCTAGCTGATTTATGGTAAATCAATGGATAGACGTGAAACATATAGAAACCAAGAAGAATTGGACTATCAACACCAGCAATAGACGTTTTTTTGCACGGCATCTACGTTGGCTAAGTGATTTTTGGCCATCAAAAGGGAGGAAAAACACCAGTTTGTTGGTGGGTTCACATTTGATGATTTGTCTACTTGGGATATGATTGAGGCCGCAGTTAACTTATTCATGCATAAAACTATCCAAACAATGCAACATCTATGAATTTCCATTTACCTATGACCAATGTATACCAATGCTTTGTTCATTTGACATGGTACTTGTCCATTGCCACCTTTGATTTCCGGTTAGCAGAGCACCAACCACCGGGTTGCTTATCTCATGCGTAAGGCAGCGCAATTGCCCAAGGTGCGCTGCCCTGTTGGTGAAGTGGTCATTGTTGCCGTTCGGTCAAAGTTTTGTGGGCGAAAGCCAAACCGGTTTTGCGGGTGAAAGCCAAACTGGTTCTTGCTGAATCCTGTCTTTGTCGATTTTTCGTTACAAATTCCATCCAAATCGGCCAATTCTCCATTTTCTGGTTGAAGAAATAGTTGATTCAACCCCAAATCTGTCCAGGGGCCAGCTGTCCAATCTCATGAAAATCATCAAAGGTAACCTCGAAAGGGTCATCACACACCATTGAGCCCTTATATATAATATATATATATAATATATATATATATTCCCTAACAGATTCTCCGGAAATTCGAAGAGATGGCCCGCATAAAGCCGGCGCGCCAGGCCAAAGAGGAGATGGAGATGACCCGCGTGAAGCTGCAAGCCGCGCCCAGCAAGGCGGACGTAAAAATATCAGACAGGGAGCGAGTTGATGAGCTATGCCAGCTATGCAATAAGAATATGAGTGATATATGAGTGATATATGAGTTTATTGAGTTTATTGAGTTTAGTGGATATATATATATAGTTTATACATGTTTATATGCTTTATAGAGGTTTCCATAAATGGGAGGTCCTCAATAGCTGGATGGTTTATTTCATGGAAAGTCCATCTACTGTATAAATGGATGATAACCAGGGGTACCCCCATTTTAGGAAACCTCCATATGACTTACGAATACTTAAGAAAGTCAGGGAGCTATGCAATAAAAATCAATGAAACGGGTGAGGCACTTGTTTTTGCGGTTAGAGACTTGGATGGGTGGAGTCAACTAGCTGGTTAGTAAGGGGGGGAAGTGATAGTTGTACCGTTGTACCGTGTTCTATCCAAAGATGCCCCAATAAACCACAGTCATCCCCACTAGACGGGCCATGATGATTGGGGTCCCAATTTCAACAAGTTCCATAGAATTCAGACACTTGATGTACCCTCTGGTAAACAAACATAGCTATTGAAAATGGCCATTTATAGTTGATAAAAACCCATTAAAAATGGTGATTTTCCATATTTTTTTTTGTATGTTTACCAGAGGGTACCGCAAGTCGATGATTGTAATCTCCATTTCTGGTTCTGAATGGGGTTCCAGGTATCGAATCCAGAAGCCCCGTGATGTTTCATCACAGGATGGTGCTCCCCAGTGAAATGTTTGTTGGTTTATAACTCCATCTAGATATAAGTATAAGTATCATACACTATTGTTATAGTTATAAACCAACTTACCTAATGAACTGGGGCCCCATCCTGCATGTTTCATCAGGAAGAGCGTGTGGCTGCCTCTTTGAAGCGCCTGCGCGAGTACAGCGGCGTTGAGGGCTGAGTGTGTCGCAGAGACAGCCGCAGAGTGCGTCACAGACAGCGGCGAGAGCCGGGTTGGTCTGACCGACCTCTTTGGAAAGTTCCAGGCCTTCAGCAGCCAAGTGATTGACGGATGATCGTTGGAGATTTTTTGGGATGTATGATTAGTTAATCTTAGTTGACTTGTCTTTTTAACATATATATATATAATATAATACATATATTTATATAATATATATATATATAATATGATATAATATAATATATATATATGATCCATTTGAACCACAAGACTTTTGGGCATATGACACATATATTAATTAGGGGTGTTTCTTCAAATGGGCCATGTGCGCTGCTGAAAAGTTCCATTCTGTGACGCTGGCCTGAAAGCGTCCGAGTTTCAAATATGTTTCAATTGCCACTTCTTAAGCCAGTGGTGTTCTGGTCCTGTCTCCACAGTTGCCAGTTGAGACATCACCACACAAACTGCCTGTGGGGCAACAGACATTGTGGCATAGAAAAAGATAGTGTACCCATGTGTACCCCAATGGTTTTTATGATCGTTATCCCTCCTAAATGGCTATATGGCTATAATTGGGGGTATAGCCCATTTTCAGACATACCCCGGCGCCAGTGAAGGTTGGTGAATGTGTTGGAACCCCGACCTGGGTAACCTGTCACGGTTGGCGGTAAACCATTGTACAGTACAAATCACATTCTAATCACAAACCAATCACATTCAGATTAGTTCATATGATTCATATATGTACCAGTTACTGTTGTGATTAATAGTGATAACATTTGATAACCATTATTAACATTGTTGATAACATATTTATTCAGATTAGTTCTAGTAACTAATATAATCAATCAGTAACCAATCATTTATATAATGACCTTTTAAAGGGTTACTGTTGTCTTAACCAGTTCTTTCCAACAACAGCCCCAGTGTTGCCATTGCCATTTGGGGATGGATCGATCGTGGGCCCCTTGTCACAGCCGTAGTTCCGCCGTGTCGTGGTTTCTCCCGCTTTCCCAACATAACTGATATCGATTAATATCGTAATTATTGGATAATTATTGGATCATGGATGGTAATGAATGATAATGGATGGTAATGGATGGTAATTATTGGATACAGTAATTATTGGATAATTATTGGATAATGGATGGATAATTATTGGATAATTATTGGATAATTATTGGATAATGGATGGATAATTATTGGATAATTATTGGATAATTATTGGATAATTATTGGATAATTATTGGATAATTATTGGATCATGGATGGTAATGGATGGATAATTATTGGATAATTATTGGATACAGTAATTATTGGATAATTATTGGATAATTATTGGATAATGGATGGATAA